AATTTAATTTGTTATATTATTAAAAAAATATAAAAAATATCACTTAATTTTTTATGTCATCAAAAGATATCTTTTTTTATTAGTGATGTGGGACCCATTTGAGTAGATTTGGTGCCATGTCATCAAAAAACAAATTTCTTTATTAGTGATGTTGGACCTATTTGAATGGATTTGGCACATAGTAACATGACATGTCAAAATATTTGTCCATGTCATCACTTTTTCTAAATTTTGCTCTCCACATCATCAAAAAAAATATAAAAAATACCACATAAGTAAGGGGTAGGAGCGAGATGCAGAGTCAAAGGGTTAGAGCGAGAGGAGCGGCGACAGGGGAGGCCAGCGGCACCAGACAGCGACAGAGGCTCAAGCGTTGGATTCCGGGGGTCGATCAAAAGCTTTTAGGACAGATAAAGACCTTCTTCTTCTACAATTTTCCAGAAAATTGTGAGGAGAAAGACTTATGGTATAGCTTTCAGAGGTACGGGAAAGTATTAGATGTTTATCTGCCAAAGAAGCGAGACAAATGGGGGAAAAGATATGGATTTTTGCGTTTGTTAGGGGTACAGAATGATAACCAGATGGTGAGAAGACTTAATGACATCTGGTTTGGATCATACAAGCTGCGAGTGAAAATTGCAGAGGAGCGAAGCAAGGGGAGAGTAAAGGAGGCAGAGACAAGAGGCAGAAAACAGCACAGAATAGACAGGTTAGTACAACCAGGACAGTCATATGCCCAGGTGGTTAAAGGGAAAGAACAGAAGTCGCAACATCCGCTGATTCGTGGAAGAACAATGGAAAGGGACCAAAGGGCCATTACTCATAGGAAAAAGACGCCAATTCAAGCAAGACAACAAAAAAGGAAGGAGGAAGTGGCATCATGCGACACAATAAAAATCAAAAATCGGATGGTGGAGAATCTGGAATTGGAAACACAGGAGGAAGTCATGGAATTTATACCAGAGCAGAGTGAACTTCAATGGCTTGAAGGGGGCATGGTGGTTATCGTCAAATCTCTATCAATAATCAATGAAATCCAACAGAGGATTGACGTAGATGGCGGCCTGATCACTTTAGCACCATTAGGGGGCAGAAGGGTGCTGTTAACTGAAAAGGAACCGGGATACCTATTGGAATTTATGAAGCTCAATAAAGAAGTGTTAGCTTTGTGGCTTGAAGACATCCAATCATGGGATAAGGATGTAAAGGAACGAAGTAGAATGGGCTGGATACGTATCTCTGGTATCCCTCTGAAAGCATGGAGTGATAGATGCTTTCTAATGATCGGAGAATCAGTCGGAGAGGTGATCAAGATCCATGAAGATACAAAGATGAAGTCGATTTTATGTGATGGGAGAATGTTAGTTATATGCTCTGCAAATCAAAGGATTTCTAAGAAAATTAAACTGAAGGTGGAAGAAAAGCTGTATGAGATACGAGTGGAGGAAGAAGAATGGCGATCCGACCCAGATTGGTGGTTGTCAGATGATGAGCGGAGGGGTGAGTCACTAACGGAGTCGGAACAGTCCTCGGAACAGTCTTCGGAGCACTCTTTGGAGCAGATAGATGAGGATGATCAGGATTGGGTAAACTTCGAAATTGGCGACGAAGAGGACGCCAGCATTGATGAGGAGCAATTAATGAAGGAGGGACGTTGGAATTCAAATTCAAAATTCATATATACAGAGGAAGAAAGGGAGAGGCGGCACACAGAGGAAGGAAATGAGGGTAGAGAGGATGTGGGTAATGGGCCGACCAAAGACAGTGGGCCGAAGACAACAAAAGTAATTGGGCTGGGAGAAAGTGGACTGAAAGAAGCAGATGGCCTGGGAAGGAACCTAAGTCACGGACAGAAGATGAAGATTAAAAAGAAAGGGCCCGAGGAGACAAAAGATGAGGGGATGTTGCCAAAATCAGATCTAGATCTGAGGATACTAAGAAGCAAACGAAGAAGAAAGCTGGAGGAATGTTACCCAGAGAGTTTAGCAAAAAGCTGGCCAAAGAAGGTGCAGGAGACAAATACAAGAGCAAAACAAGGACACAAAGGGAGAGCAGAACCTTCAACGGGGTCAGCGAATAAGGTAACTCTGGTTGGTAGTTGTTCAATTTCTGATGGATGCATTGCAAATAGAAACAGGGAGCTTAGAAAAGAGATGATCTTGCATGAGGTGAGGAAGATGTTGAGCGTAGGGAAGAGGCTGGGATTTCAAATCAACGAAAATGAAGAGGAAATACAGTCTCGGTTAGTGGAGTTGGAAGAAAGGGAGGAGGCAGGGGATCGACAGGGGTAGTGGGTTTAAGGGTTCGGTAGTAGTGATTAGGTGGGTGTGGGAGTTTGTAGTTGATGAAGTTGATTTCCTTCAATGTTAGGGGCATGGGTAGTGTGTTGAAGAGGAAAGAGATTGGTAAATTGGTGAGAGAGGAACGACCTGATTTTCTATTCCTGCAAGAAACTAAGTTAGAAAGGGTGGATGAGGATTTGAGTAGAACAGTGTGGAATTCGAGAGAGTGTGGCTGGGTAATGAAGGAATCGGTAGGAGCATCAGGAGGCTTGATGTGTTTTTGGAACAAAAAGACTTTTGATAAGTCGGGAGATCACACAGGAGATGGTTATCTGAGAATTTCAGGGGAGTGGGGAATTCATAAGGTGAAGTGTAACCTAGTGAACGTGTATGGTTCAAGTGATAGACAGAAGAGACTCAAGTTATGGGATGAGCTAAGGAATATGATCACAGAAGAGGGAGGAAGATGGTTAATTGCGGGAGACTTTAACGCTGTAAGATGTCTTGAGGAAAGAAGGGGAAGAACAAGGGAGAACCCAGATATGAGGGAGTTTGATGCGTTTATTCAATCAGCAGGCTTAATAGATATCAAAATGATTAATAGGCGCTTTACATGGTACAAGCCAGATGGTACAGCCATGAGTAGACTGGATAGAGTTTTGATGAATGCAGAGATGAGCAGATTGAGGGGAGATTGGGTGCAACAGGGATTGAAACGGAACATCTCAGATCATTGTGCAATAGTGCTGAAATCAAGAACAACTGACTGGGGACCAAAGCCATTCCGAGTTTTGGATGCATGGTTACTCCAGCCAGATTTCAAGAAGATAATTGAGCAGAAATGGAATGCAATGGAGGTAGATGGGTATGCAGGGTACAAATGCAAACAGAAGTTAAAGGGGTTAAAGGAGTTTTTGAAGGGATGGAACCGAGAAGTATTTGGAGACATGGAAGTACAATATGAACAGGCTGTTAAACAGATTGAGCAGGTTGATATGAAGAATGAGGAGTTTGATCTGGAGGAATTTGAAATTCTGCAGAGACAAGAAGGATTTCAGAATATGTGGGACATAATGAGGAAGAGAGAAGTGATATGGAAACAAAAGTCAAGAACCAATTGGGTTCGTGTGGGAGATGCAAACACGCGGTTCTTTCATAGAGTTGCAAATGGTAGAAAGGCCCAAAATTATATCACAGGCTTAATGTGTGACGGAAGCTGGGTGGAAGAACCAACACAGGTTAAGAAGGAGGCGATGAACTATTTTAGCAAGCTATTTCAAGAGGATAAGTGGAGTAGACCAAAGCCGTATGGAGTTAATTTCAAGCAAATTTCCACAGAGGAAAATCAATGGCTTGAGCGACCATTCTCCATCGAAGAAATTGAGGAAGCATTACGAAGTTGTGAAGGCTCAAAAGCTCCGGGACCAGATGGGTACAACTTTACCTTCCTTAAATTTGCATGGAATATTTTAAAGGAAGATTTTATGAGCTTTTTTGCTGAATTTTATCAGAATGGTAAATTGGTTAGTGGGCTGAATTCATCTTTCCTTACTTTAATCCCCAAGAAAATTAATTCTGTGGAATTAAAGGATTATAGACCCATTAGCTTAATTGGATGTGTGTATAAACTGTTAGCAAAGGTATTGGCTAATAGAATTAAATCTGTGCTGCCGGGGATTATTAGTGAAAATCAATCTGCTTTTTTGGGAGGACGTCAGTTAGTTGATGGGGTGTTGGTGTTGAATGAAGTGGTAGAGGAAGTAAAGAGAAAGAAACAACAGGCTTTTGTTTTTAAAGCTGATTTTGTGAAGGCATACGACTGTGTGAATTGGTCATTTTTAGAATGGATGATGGATAGAATGGGTTTCGGAACCAAGTGGAGAAGGTGGATCATGGAATGCTTATCAACCTCTAGAATTTCAGTTCTAATTAATGGCAGTCCGACGGAAGAGTTCAAGGTCGAAAAAGGATTACGTCAAGGTGATCCGTTATCCCCATTTTTATACTTGATGATTGGGGAGGGACTAAATGGACTGGTGCAAAAAGCAGTGACAGAGGGGTTGTTTCGAGGTGTAGAAATCGGCAGGAGGGGGTTAGAGAGTACTTTACTCCAATTCGCAGATGACACAATTATTATGGGAAAAGCTGACACAGAGAATGTATTTATGGTTAAAACAATCCTGCGATGGTTCGAACTGATGTCTGGTTTACGAATTAATTTCAGTAAGAGCAGCATTTATGGATACAATGTGCCAGTAAGTTGGGTAGAAGGAGCAGCCGGCATGCTACGTTGTGGTGCTGGGAAATCTCCTTTTGTTTATTTGGGATTGCCCGTTGATGGAAATCCTGGGAGAAAGAAGTTATGGGAGCCACTGATTTATAAATTTCGAGCCAAACTCGCTGTCTGGAAAGCTGCTTCGCTATCCTTCGGTGGCCGCCTCACTCTGCTCAACTCGGTACTTTCTGCTTTACCTATTTTTTACATGTCACTGTTTTTAATTCCAAATTCTGTGCTTGCTGAAATGATTAGTATACAGAGAACCTTTTTATGGGGAGGGGGTGAGTCACAAAAAAAGATCTCTTGGGTGAAATGGGAGCATGTATGCTATAGTAAACTAAAAGGGGGGTTGGGGGTGTCAGACTTACGCAGGAAAAATTGGGCTCTCTTAGGAAAGTGGTGGTCTAGGTTTGGGGATGGTGTAGAGAGCTTATGGAAACGGATAGTTAAGGAGAAATATTATGGGGGCAAGTGGGAGGAAGTGGACATTACAGCATTCGGGAATCAGAGAATGTCTAAAATATGGAGGGATATTATCAAGATAGGGGGGAGTTCTATGAATCTTAGAAATATGTTGGTGGAGGGGTTTAAGTGGGAAGTAGGAGAAGGGAATCGAGTGAGCTTTTGGAGTGAACCGTGGGTAGGGAATAAAACTTTAAGGGTTTTATATCCAAGATTGTACGAATTGTCTACGAACAAGGAGTGTAAGATTAGTGATATGGGGGTATGGGAGGGAGATAAATGGCGCTGGAAAATGGAATGGAGGAGAGAGAGAATAGGAAGAGAAAAGGATGAGGAGGAGAAATTAAGGGAAGGATTGGAGAGGATACAATTAAAGAAGAGAGTGGAAGACGGGTGGAGGTGGACTCATGATTCGGTGGGCAGATACGGGGTGAAGAATGCTTACGATTTTTTAACCCCAACAGAGAGTGTTCTAGACAAGCAGTGGAGTAAGTTAATTTGGTGTAAGTTAGTACCCTCTAAAGTGTCTTTCTTTGGGTGGAGATTGTGCCTTGATAGACTTCCAACTAAATGGAATATTAGGAAGCGAGGAGTACCTTTGCAGGAAGAGGAATTAAAATGTGTTCTGTGTAAGGATAAGGTGGAGGAAGTTAATCACTTGTTTAGTATGTGTAAGGAAGTATGGATTTTTTGGGTAGAGGTGCTGCAGTGGTGGGGCATGGTGACTGTTATGCCTAATAATGTGCTAAGTGTGGCAGATATTTTTGTGAATGATTTGGGTAGGATAATAGGGAAGGAGATGGGTGCTTGTATCTTCCTTGTGGCTGCATGGTATTTATGGTATTGGAGAAATGGTGAGGTGTTTAAAAATGGAAATATCATTAGAGGAAGATTAATGGAGATGGTCCAAGCTAAATCATTTTTCTGGATTAAGAATAAGATCCATGGGTGTGTCTTTTCATTCCATGAATGGAAGATAAAACCAGTTGAATGTGCTCTATCAGTCAAAAAATATAAACAAATGCAGAAATTGTTCCATAAACAGCAGAAAGGAATGGGCACAGCTTAAAGTCTGGAGAGGAGCGTGGCTGTTCTCCTCATTGTGAGGCAAAACATCAATCTGTGTGGTCAAGGTTTCTAGACCAATGGAGTGCAGGGCATCGTAAGAATCTAGAGGTGCCTAAAACGTTGCAACGAGACATGGGATGGCTTTATTTCTCTGCTTATGGTTCACGTGTTGGTTCCTGTGTGGCAGGTGTTGCAGATGTGGGTTCATCTTTCTAATGTCGTTGTGTTGCTCCTATTTTGAATGCCTGTAAAGTGATTGTATTTGAATCTCCGTGTGGGCTTGTATTTTTGTTTGGGGAGTATTCCTTATACCCCTATTTAATAAATTTTCATCTTGGTTTGCTGATCAAAAAAAAAAAAAAAAAAATACCACATAAGCGAAGTTAACTACTTAAATTAACAGAAGGACTAACGGAGTGCATTTCTTATAATTGAGGAATCAAAAAAGTGCAAAAAATTGTTGAGAGACCAAAAATGTGCATTTCTTAAAGTTGAGGGACCAAATTTAACATTTAACATTTCTTTTTCTTTCTCTAGAAATTAGGGAGTATGAATTAATGAAAAGAGTTACCAATAAGAAAATTAATTAAGGATAATAAGTATAATATTTAAAAATAATAATAAAAAATAAA